TGACTTCCAGTATGAACTTTACTATCAACAGCGTCTGAAAGTACTCTTGAATACCTTTAATTTGATACCAAAATGGATAAAATCGACCCATAAATAAGGACGCCACACTCATTTGAATATTTTCAAACAATTTAGTGCAATAACGCTTTATCTTACATTGGTGGTTAAAATACACTAAGTCTATATCTGTAATATCTCAGTAACTCATAATGATAGACCCATAAACCTATACATTTTCTGAATCTACTCGTCGAGATCTTTTTAACGGTATATAAATTGAAGGGCTTTGTAAACTTTAAAAATTTGGGTTTAAAAATCGCTGTTACGTAATAACTCTGTAACAGTTGAAAATCGAATCGACAATGGGGGTGTAAATTAAAGGTATTAAAATGTTCTTTCAATTGGTAGTGAAAAATTGAAAAATCATATCGTAAACGGTTGCCCTAGAGAGGAAAACCGGTCTGTAGCTTAATTTCTTTGAATGGAATTGCTCAGAAATACACGCAAGGGAATGAAATTTCATTTAAAGTGTAGATTACAGCATTTTGTAGACTAGAAAGCAAAACAGTATTAGGTATAAGTCATAATTTTATAAGTTGCAACATTTTCTACAAATTTTAATCCTTATTTCAGCAGTCTGTTTGCACTAAGTAAACATTTCGCTGACCGGGACCCTTAAAAGGTACACTATTGATAAAATCAATGTCCATTATACCGCATTCGGGTTTATATAAACAAACGCTAAACAGCGCGGAGACTTTAAAGGGATTAATTTTGACATATGAATAGACCATTGTTAAAGTATTCGTCCCTAAATAAACAAGACGCCAAACATCGCGGCGACTTTAAAGGGATTCATTTTGACAGTTGAATGGACCATTGTCCGCACATCTGCTCTAAAATAAACAGGACGCCAAACATTGTTGACATTCTGAATGGATTAATTTTGACAGTTGAATTTGCCTTTGTCCGCACATCTGCTCTTAAATCAACATACGCCAAACATTGTTGACATTCTGAATGGATTAATTTTGACACCTGAATAGACCATTGTTAATGTATCCGTCCTTAAATCAACACACGCCAGGCAGTGCGGCAACTTTAAAAGGATCAAATTTGACATGTTTACTTTAAATTGTCCGCCCAGTCGGCCTTAAATAAATAGACGCGCAACATGTTGGAGCTTGTTTTATTGCATTGGTGACGTCATCAAATCCGAGCATGCGCATTAAGGGATAGTACTTTTAATATTGGAGTCATTTCGTTGCTGGAGCTTAAGGAGTAAAGAGGTAATATTTTTATTAAATGTTTATAAAGAAATACTTAAAATAAATATGTTAATAACCTTATTTGAAAATGTATAAGATAAATTAGGTATTAAGGGTGATATTTAAAATATAAAGAAATACATTTAAAATGTTAGTTATTTGAGTTAAATTAAACGTGTATTATAGAGAACATTGATTAAAAGTAATAATTAAATCAGTTGTCAAGTACACTGTACGCAGTGTGGGAAATATAAAAACAAAGGGAATCATTATTTTTGCCATTCAATTTTAAAATGCTTGGATACTAATTTTATCTCCCCGTCTTGGGCCGAGGACCTGACCCTCAATGTCCGCGATTCACGCTCTAGATCGGGTATACAAGTCAGCTCCGTATACTTCCGGGAGATTAAAAATGGAACGATGATGTCATTCTAAAAATAAACAGATGAGGTCATTCTAAAAATAGAACGATGATGTCATTCTAAAAATAGAATCCAATATGGCGCCGCGCATGCGCAATCTTGGCCCTAAAGAGACCCCTATACTACTTATATGGCTACTTTGGTACAATATATTGAGGAATTGGTATCATATAATGTGATAACCAACTTATATATTTCTACTTTGGTTTCATAAATTGATACATTGGTTTTATATGTTGAAAAATGAATTAATATTTGTGATAACTCGGTTTAATAGGATATCTGGTTCCATACATGGCTACTTTGGTACCATATATTGAAGAACTGGAATCATATATCGAACAAATCAACTTATATATTGCTAAATCGTTTCATACACTGACGGTATGGTTTCATATATTGTAGCTGTGGATTAACATAATGGATTCCGGTTAAATTAGAAGGTGTTTTCAATTCATATATAGTCGAAGCGAACTTATAAATTATCCAAATGGTTAAATAAAGTAAAAAAGAACAATATAAGACAGCCATGGCTTTCCATAAAAAGGGTAAGGCAAGCTGATGCCTTATAAATAAAACCCAAAGTAAAACGTCAGATTTTTATGTGCCTTGATAGCGCAGTAGGCAGAGCGAACGTTTCAGTGTTATATTCATGGTCGAATCATGGTTATATATATAAGTACTATTACATTTGGCTGTCTTATGTATCTTTTTCTTATTTGCCGGTTTTGTTTCAAATAGTTACAAATGCATCAGATATTTTTTGGACACGGGTTGATATGCACTTGCGTACAGTTAGAGAAAACGCCACACATCAGGAGAAAGCATTATCAGAAAAGTAAAAATATAATGTTATATATTGATCCATATATTCAAATTATAAATATTATGTAATCTTAGTGCGTTTAAATAATCTTCATACAGAAATAATTTTTGCGAATCGAACCTGCATTGCATTGATATTCAACTAGAAATTTAACTGACAGTCTTACCTACTGCGTTAAGTGGACGGTTGGCAAATTGGTAGTTTTTGTTTATTTATATCGTTAAAAGATGATAAATACAATATGATAACTGTTTTACACCCTTATAGTGGACTTGACCACTGCGTCACTAAATAATTATCTTACACGTACTCAACACATTTACCTATGTATCTGATATAAATAATAAACACAAAAAAATATTGTTTGAAAATTTTCGTAATATTTGTGGGAAATCACTGACCCGCGAATTGCGTAGCTCATCAACACAAACGCTATCACTTTAATCTTTAAGGTACAAACCGGTTTCAAACAACATTAGAACAGAAAAGGTCCTCTATCGGAAATGATGAAGGGGTTTATAATTTATTATCTCTCAATAATAGATGCTTCTTAATGACGAATCTCATTTTGATATAATTTAATTGAATATTCGGCCAAAATAACCAAAAAAGTAGAAACAGCTTTGTAAACGGTAAACGCTTTTTGTCAACCGACTGAATTCCTTATAAACACTTATATTATGCCACTTTCCGACTTTAATATTGATGTGTTTTATCATGATAACCTTGCATCACACATAAAATTGGTCAGTAGAATTTCTGCGGACGTACATAATGCTTTTTAATCATAGAAAGTCAGGCGCCTAAGCCCTCGCTTTTCAAAACTAGGTACGTTGTAATGCGCGTAGCAAGTAGATTCACTGATATTTGTGTGTCCAGGTGAGTGAGAAAAATAATCAACCATTTGGTTAGATAGAGGAACGCCAATACGCCAAGGCTCGTTCCCTATGGAAAATGAGAAAATAAAAAAGTTCTCTGAAAATGATTTTTTTCTTTTGATATATCCTTTAAATAACACTAGTTATCTTTAAAACTTCATTAAATGACGTTTTATTGTTAAAATAACATTTCTACAACATTAAAATTTTTGGCCGTCAGGCCGATGGGCTGCCAGGCCGCCAACTTCACAAAAATGAGAAAATAAAAAAGTTATCTGAAAGTGATTTTTTTCTTTTGATATATCCTTTAAATAACAATAATTATCTTTAAAACTTCATTAAATGCCGTTTTATTGTTAAAAAACATTTTTACAACATTAATTTTTTTGGCCGCTAGGCCGCCAGGCCGCTGGGCCGCCAACTTCACAAAAATGACAAAATTAAAAAAATCTCTGAAAGTGATTTTTACTTTAGATATATCGTTTAAATAACAATAATTATCTTAAAAACTTCATTAAATGCCGTTTTATTGTTAAAAAAAAACATTTTTACAACATTAAAATTTTTGGCCGCTAGGCCGCCAGGCCGCTGGGCCGCCAACTTCACAAAAATGACAAAATTAAAAAAATCTCTGAAAGTGATTTTTTCTTTAGATATATCGTTTAAATAACAATAATTATCTTTAAAACTTCATTAAATGCCGTTTTATTGTTAAAAAAACATTTTTACAACATTAAAATTTTTGGCCGCTAGGCCGCCAGGCCGCTGGGCCGCCAACTTCACAAAAATGACAAAATTAAAAAAATCTCTGAAAGTGATTTTTTTCTTTAGATATATCGTTTAAATAACAATAATTATCTTTAAAACTTCATTAAATGCCGTCTTATTGTCAAAAAAACATTTTTACAATATTAAAATTTTTGGCCGCCAGGCCGCTGAGCCGCCAACTTCACGCCGCTAGGCCGCCAGGCCGCCAACTTCACACCGCTAGGCCGCCAGGCCGCTGGGCCGCCAACTTCACGCCGCTAGGCCGCAGGCCGCTGGGCCGCCAACTTCACGCCGCCAGACCGCTAGGCCGCCAGGCCGCCAACTTTACGCCGCCAGGCCGCTAGGCCGCCAACTTCACACATCTTAATTTACTTTATAAATTTAATGAGAGATGAAAACACATGATTGAGTTGATTTGACACGTTTTCGCGACCTAATTGAAAGATTTGGGATCGGTAGGCCTTGTAAGCATGAAGTTATTGATGTCCTTGGCAATTTTTGATTTTACAAATCTTGTCTTTCTTTAATTTATTTATCATATTATTAAACAATTGTCTGTACTATATCCTAATTAGAATTTAATCAATTATAAAATTGAAACCTATAAAGTAGTTCGGCCCACATAATTTACGTACCAAGACGATTCGTCAATATATATAACTATGTTTATATTTTAGTGATAGTATAATACAGTGTTAATAAGTTTAAAAAAATACATTATTTTTAAGTTAAATAACAAATTTGAGTGTTAAACTTTAAAGTTTAATAGTCGTAAATTTATGGGGAATAGTAAATCTATTTCTATTTTATTATGTATTATTTTATATAATACATGTAGATCCTGGTCCTGGTTGAAATTTAGAGTATTGCAGCTGTAGCCTGAATACCATACATTCAGCATGAAAAGGACTGTCAGGTTTGTTAAATTGAAATGTATTCTTATTAATTTATATATTTGAATTTTTTTACAATACAAAGTATAAATTTTTCAACTACTGGATATTTATCTTGTCTTAAAATATATTATTTTTGGAATATTCGTGTAACATTATTTATATACAATTTACATGTTTGTTGATTTCAGGATGCTGCATAAAATGGTCTTAGCTAGAGCCTAGAATGTTAATTTCTTGGGAATATGCTGCAAGGAACTGACGGGGAGCAGTTTTTCTTACCAATCATAGGTGAGACTTTTAAATAGCTTCTTTTTAAAAAGATTTTGTTGTCTTATATACAGTATTTGCTGTCAATATGAAACTTAGCTATGTTTCAATTTCTATGCTGTTTTATGATGTAAATCTTAGAGAAAAGCATTTTAAGATAAAAACAAATCACTAAGTTGAGTAATTATATGTATAATTTGAGATTGACCAAGTCACTTTTAACTACAAACTTCTTATTTTTATTTGCAGAAGCAGTAAGAGACAGCCAAAGAAGTACTCAAACACTTGACATACCCTGAAAGATCTAGAAGAAAAGATTGGAACAGATTGTAGTTTAATTGTTTAAACTATTAAAGTGAATTTAAGCTGCACTTGAACTGTTTTTTTGAAATAAAATATTTGAAGTATTTAATTTTGTCTTGATATTTAGTTAAACTTGGTTACTTTGTTTTATATCCAAAAAAAAAAAGTATGGTGGGTTTTCAACGTTGAAATGACATTGAAACTTCAACGTTGTGCCAACGTTGAAGCTGCAACGTTGTATCAACGTTGAAATTTCAACGTTGTTTCAACTTTCAAATCCGAATATAAATCCAACCTTATTTCAACGTTGAAATCTGACCATAATTCAACGTTGATGTTGCGTTTGTTGTATATGTATTGTGAAAAGGCTTTAACTGCAGATTTATACAATAAAAAAACGTCAAGTTTCAAAATTTATTCTGGACATATAATTACCGAATTCGTTGTGATCTGCCGAAGTCACGTGTAGTGTGAGACAAGTTTGGGCAGAATTTCATAACGTCTTAAAAGTATGATATTTTATGGAGTTTATTTAAAATTGGCCAAAATAGCGGAAAACAACTTTCATCTTCAAGACACGTGACCATGCAGCTCGCAATAATATGCAAAGGTATTTTGACGTACAGTTTGCAAAATAGATTTAGCCATGTGATGTATACAAGCTTGGCTCAAGAAGGGGAGCCACTCACAATACCACACGTGTCTGTGTTATCTACTTAATTTTTTATGTAACTCAAGACGGCATAATGTGGATGTTCATCAAATAAAACAAACAAACAGTGCGATGGGAAGGTGTTTATATTAGGAGATATACGGTTCTTGTTTGAGATAGTTAACATGCACGTAGAAATTCCCCGCCGTATCTCAATATCTTACGGAATCCGGTTTAAAGCCACACTGTAGACTTTCGACATGATGCAAATTGTAAGCTGATATCTATATATCGCGTATAACTGCAAAACAACATTCAAATATTGTATGGCAAATTGTTCGTTGGCATGTATTACAATGCATTCTTACGCGACCCGCATTTTCCCTGTTTAACATAGAAGAACCGAAAGTGCATGCTATTATGCATTAATGTCCAGTTTTATTTGTCATCCGGTGCAAACGCTGTATTTCTTCAAAATTCTGCGTGTTAATTTTTATAAAACAAAAGTTGATAGTATATCGAATACCGTTTATAGTCGCCTTGTATTTTTCATAGTGCTTTATAGAACAGCGGTTGTAAAAAAATAGTCATTTGCATAAATTTGCACATGCGCTGTGGGCCGTTTTTGACCAATAATTAAGTAAAAATGGCGTTGAAGGGTCAACATACGTGAATTTTGTATTGATGGAAAAATGATATACGTGCAGTTCAGATTAAAATCCACATCTTGGCTAAAAAAATAGATCTACTGCACGTGTAACAGTAAAAACCAATACAGAATGTCAATTAATATTTTCTATTACGAATGTAGGAAATTGTAACTAAGAGGAAAGTCTATTCTGGTTTCCGGCATCTAACAAGTATGTAGCGAAAGGGGAAGGAACTCCAGACTAAGGAAAGTCTTGCTTAATTTTTTCGGCAGACAGAAAGTGAAAGTATACAGTATGTTTTTTTGAAGATACATTACGTGAACTTTTGTTAACACATGTCATTTAGTGTATACATGTATACATCATATCAGATATTAGCTACTGAGTATCAATTGTCCATCTCATCAAAAATGTTTTCCGAAAATAAATGTTTCAATATACTCGCATTAGCCATATGCCGTACTGAAATACAAGGGTTCAACCGGTACATGCGGTTTCGCGCCAAAAGTTGTGTAAATTATGCATATTTATAAGGACCCACCATTGATTCAGGAATGAAAAACATGAAATAAAAAGAAAATTTATTTGTTTTACATAAACATATTAGATTGAAATATATTTCATTCGTAAACACCAGCTATTCTACTATCTTCACTCGTCATGCATGTGGCAACGCCACTCGTGAAAATATTGCAATTGGTGTTCACTCCAATATATTTTAATCTTACATGCAAAACAATCAAATATCCTCTGTACATTTCTTAAATACATTACGTCGTGTCGTGCGTTGATTGTCGAAGAGGGAACGTGTTTTTATGTTTGACTATGATACAAATGAGCATCAAAACACTCGGCAATCTGATTAATATTCGGGGGCTACGCCCCCTCGTACAAATCAGATAGCCTCGTGTTTCGATGCTCTTTCTATTACTTAAATACATTATGTCGTGTAGTGCGTTGATTGTCGAATGAATATCTACATTAAATGTGGCACAAACTGGATATCGTAGCTTGATGTTCTTAATTGTTTGCGAAAAGCCTCCAAACAGAAACGACAGCCAATAAATAAACACATGTTTTGTAAAAATAGATATAAGACAGATGTAACCTTGGATTTTATCCAGTTATCCTAGTTTTCGAAAGATATAAAATGCAGATAAAGGTTTAGCTTGTTATTTCTTCTACCACTTTGTTGCAAGTATGCAAGTTATAGAAACTATATTCTGGTTCCCGACATCTTGTAACAGGTAGATTTAAAAGCAAGCTTAGTGTCCTACAACATTCACTTTTAAATTAAATAACGGATGTTCTTACGACAGTTATTCAAGTACACAATGATATACCTGTATAATAAATGCCCTCCTATTAACTTTTGAACTTAAAGAATAGTCAGAATAGCAGTCTTTTCAGACCGAGTTCAACGTTGTTTAAAGAAGAGTAAAGAAAATATGTTCTCAGTTTATTAAAATGTTCACAGTTTATTGCATGATAGATCGCTGTATGTATAATATAAGAACAATGTGTTTTGTCTGTGCTTATAATTATAAAAGGAGTCGAATATTACTCAATTGTGTATTCGGTGACAGTTCTGAAATGAATTGTTTGTGTTATTTTATTTTACTATGATATTAAAATTATTGGTTATGTTTCAGACAACGTTTTGCACAGTAAAACGAACAGGATCAATAAGAAAATTTTATTATCTAGACGACTTGGTATTATTGATGAAATAAACTATTAGTAGTTTACTATCATTCTAATAACACTTTCATCGTAAATAGATTTTTTTTATATAGTACTTATATATACATTTATCACAGATTTATCGCATGGCTGTGAGCTTTGCCTTTGTTCTTTCTAACCCATTATACTCAGTACACTTCAATGAGCATTTCAAAACTGTATTGATATATAACAGTACAGTTTTTTCATTGATTCATATAGGAAAAAAACTCGACTGTTATATATCGGTCGAGTTTTTTTCGCACCTTGTATATATCAATACATTTTTTTCATAGAGGCTCCAATGGGGCAGTGGTAACGACCATTCCCAGTAGCAAAAAAAAAAAACAAAAAAAACAAACAAAAAAACAACAGTTTATAATGAAATCAATAAAATAAAATAAATATATAAATACGATGAAAACTATAAACAAAGATAATTAATGAAATGAAAAAGCCCTTAAATCTTAAATCAATCTTGGTAACAGTATACAATCCGCCTCTTATATTGGATGTCTTTTGTATATTTTTTTTTGCGACAGCGATAACTTGAAAAACTGCCTTATGATAAATAACTGTAATGTGGCTAACGATTAATTTATTTATTTGTTTCTATACAAAAAAGAAAACATCATGCCATTGCGATAAAACAGTTATAGTATATGAAACTCATTAGTTACGGGGGTATAACACTGGCTGGGGCGACATCTCGGGATGTTTCTGCAAAAAAATTGTCTCGGCCTAACGTCCTCGCCATTTTTTAGCAGAAACACCCCTTGATGTCGCCCCAGCCAGTGTTATACTCTCGTAACTAACTAGTTTCATATACTATAACTATTACATATTAAACAACTAATCAGAGAAACCTATATTTAAACTAAAAGTTTTGCATGTATCAACATAGAAATACAGCTAATTGCAGGAAAAAAAAGAAAAAAAAATACAGAAAAAAATATGATCATATGTCGTATTTAACGACAATTATTTTAATTATTTGTATCTCTAGGGAAATTTATATACTTACTTTCATGTACATGTTTCTCGTAAAAAGATCTTTGGAATTCATAATTATGTAATGACAGAATCGTAGTATGTTTGTGTTTTTGTTTGTAGTCAAAGAAGCAAACTGTATTTTTGTAACGCGACATAAAAATCATACCTAATACTACGAGCTTTAAAATCGTGTAACACAAGAAGACATAAAATTTGCATGTTCTTGACTTTTTCATATAGTAGTTAAATATCATACAACACTTTAAAGCCACTGATCTCCAGATGGTAAAATGAAAAAAATGAAATAAAATTTCAAGTACACAGTAAATACTGATCTGGTTAGGTTTATTGTATAAATCCATCATCACTGACACCTTAATTCAAGAAAGAATATTGACAAAAGCGTTAATATATCGGGTTTTTCTTTTCCATAATCTACTAACGTTACGTTACTGGAATCAGTCCACAGTTATTTGCCTTTCGTTGACCCGTTGACCACAATAAGGAAGTAAATCCGCATAAAAGAGTGCCTGTGTTTAATGCCAGATATAAATGAATAATTGAATGAAAGAGATAGAAAAAAGGCCATTTCCTGACAGAATTCATTTCAAATAGTTGGTAAATGCCAATTTTGATCCAGATTTTATGCGAGTAAGTATTTTTTAGTGTTTTTCTACATGACAGAATTCACATGGTTCCAGCTAATTACTGAAAACTGTCAGACTGATGTATTTTGAACTGAAATGCTGTGGAAAAATGATGCATGACCCCTAGTTTGCTATAGCTGGAATTATTTATCTTGGATGGTACTGTAAGCACAAGTGACTTTGATTTGATTGGAGAGTTAGTAAAATTGCCACAAGGTTTAATGTTTATATAGAACATATAGTGAAATTAATTGTGGTCTGAGGCCTACTAACGCAGTAGCCATTATGAATAGGAAAAGATTCATTTAACGCGGTCACGTGTCACAACAGTGGTCCGGAAAAATCCCGGTCTCCGGTATGCCCAGGATCGTTTATCAATTTTCGTCATTGAGTAGGCCCCTATCACATTTCAAGCTAAAGGTAACATCGATAAATTGGTCATCATATATGGAATAACTAATCAATTATCATTTTCAGGGCCATGAATTACAACAAATATAAAAACAAAGGCAATAATTATTATTGGTATCCCTATATGTTTGATAAAATCCCGGATTCCGTGCGTTCCGGAGCACAGGTCGCGATATTGTCCTGTACGATCACGTGATACTAGAAAAAAACCCGGGTGGTATAGTAAAAGAAGGTATTTCCCGTTGGGTTTGTTTGCACAGCAATAATGTTAAAATATGAACATTTTTAAGTGTCATTTCGTTTTCTCTCAACTATATAATGTTTTTGAGAGGGGATTTTGAAATATTAGCAAGACGGCAGTTTTTCTGCTATCTTCGGGAGGTCAGCTGCATATTCAAGAAACAAAGTATTATGTCACGTGAATCTCACATATTGTCATGTTTTACGTAGCATTATGTCACATTGACGTAGCATTATGCAACATAAATGTAGTTAATGTCACGTGGACTTAGCACCATGTCACGCTAACATGCCAGTAGTGCAATGCCACATGAACCCACTTTGAAGGTCAGGTTCACGTGGCACAAGGACATGTGGACGCAGCACAATGTCACCCGAACATTGTATTATTTTCGGTCAAATCAGCGCACGTGACTGAAGAGAAAGTAAGGGGTCAGACACCTTCTATATTTTGATAGTTTTTTATCTAAACTATTGAACATCTGCACTGTCTTAATTAATCAATTTTAAGAAACCATGAACAATAGTGATATAGTAATTGCTTACAGGTTAAACAAAAGGCTATAAATGCTTGAATGTAAATATAGATATAGTGTCACTACATTTTACGTAGAACCCTTTATATATATAACTCATTACTAATGATAAAATTCCATAAAATACAGGTAAACGATTTTTTCAATAGAAATTGAATGTGGTTGATCATAAATATCTGGATAAGGGTAGATCTTGAAAGAAATGAGAACCATGCAAATGGTTGACAGTTGCAGACTCAGTTTGAACTTCGGTATTCAATCCTCAATTCTAAAAGAATTTTAAAAAATCCCGAAGGACCAGAAAAAATATTTTTCGGCCTCCACATTTGACACATATTGTTACGGGTATAAAATCTTTAAAAAAAGAGGGGGTCTCGAATGAGCAATGAAAACAAAACACATAGTTGACAATTTGCAGAGTCTGTTTTATTTTGTCTATTATTTGAGATAATGTGCATAATCTCTCACGTCCCCCGCCCAAGGGCCAGATTAAGCGGTATGTAACAATAAAACTATGACCCAGAAAAATAACTTTATTCTGACACGCTAAAACCATATGATTTCCATTTATAAAAAAAATACGGCCTCCGTGGTCGAGGGGTTAGAGTCGATGACTTACCTCTCTAGCGTGGGTTCGATCCCCGGGATATGCTTTGGTAGTTTAGCGCGGAGGTTGTCTAGTACTTGTGTAACTCTCCAGGAAAGATGGTTAGGAAACTACCCGCCTATATGACTGAAATACTGTTGGGAAAAGGCGTAAAATAAAAAACAAACAAAACAAACGAAATTTATAAAAAAAAACACAGCGCATCTCAGGCACATAATTAGATATCTTTTGAATACCGTTCAAAGGCGTTTTTAAAAGCAAGGGAGTAAATCCATTTCGTCAAATATTATAGTTTCAACATGAGTTATCTTTCTTTGATAACTAGACATTATTTATTTCAACTGGTGCAAGCCGAATTTTATTTTACACATTATTAGTTCACGAATGCGATAAACGTTATGTACCTGTGCTACTATTAAATACATTTTATTATTTTTTTTTTTATAACATTATGTTACGCTTAGTGACGAAAGAAAGACGAAAAATTGTAACTTGTCTGAAATTTGAACAACAACAAGATTGAGAAATACAAAATAAAATGACTATTCTTTTTGTCATTCAATTTAACTGGGAAAGTAAGCCAACATAATTGAATAACCATTGTCACTCATTAAAGGGATCATTTCGAAAAGAGTACAAAAGTGGAGCTGTATTCGGTGCATTGTACACCATAAATGGGGAGTGCTTTTTTAATTGCAAAAAGCTTAGAGCTCTCGTGTTTTCCCCCATGGTCAGATGTTTCCCTATGCAATCTCTGGCATTGCAATAACGAGGTTTTCTTCAGATACTGATAAAAAAAACCCTGAATATTATCAAATTGACTCATTCTTTCCATAATCCTTTATCGTCTCGTTTAAGCACATTATTTATTTAATATGTTATAATGAATGCATAATTGTTTCACATTATTATATCAAGACTGACAACAGGCAAACAGACATAAAATATAGCTAAAAAATAAATAAAACATAAAACGCCACTTTCACAGAATGTTCTCACAAATATCTCAAAATTATAATGTGAACATGGCAAATACAGTATGTCGTGAACGCAGCACAACGTTACGTAATTATCAATTTACAATGTCACATTAATAATACAGTCAATGTCACATTAATAACGCAGCACAATTTTATATGTGAACGCAGCCAAATGCACGAACACTTTTGAACATAACACAATGTCACGTGAACAGTGAACATTGTCAAAAATGTAGGTTCTATTTTTCTATAATTTACTCAAAAAAATGAAAATAAAATAAAATAAAATAAATAAATAAATTCCGACTTTTAACTTAAGCCTTTTATATAAATATGCCGCAAGTATTTTTTTTTTTTGAAACAGGAATCCACCAATCATTAGAAGCTAGCGTTGAATGAGAAATGCTTAACGAAGCAAATTGTAAACATTTTGACTAGTTACAAATAAGTATATATATGTTAACATGTAGATCTATTATTACATATACTCAGTACAGTACAGTGCATGTATAAGAATGTCTCACACAAAAATAAAAAAGAAGCAAAATATACAGTAGTTCTTCTTTACAAAATCTGTTTAGAAATTTTTTAAAAGAAAAAAAAAATTAAAAATTAAAAATACTCTCAATTTTGAGCTTAATGGGCTTTTAATTTGTTATGTTATATTAATCAATGACGTCAAAGTTGACATGCAGTATGACGCAAACTTATTTGATTTTATGACGTCATCAATTCTATGACGCTGCATTTATTTACATGCTCACAAGAATAGCATGTTTATACTGTAAGTCAAGTATTCTCTAGAAAGATTATTACCTACGACAATGTCATCTAGTGGGAGTAGCGGTTCAAGCAAATCGTCAATGGACCCTGAGAAAGGAAAACCTCAAAAGGATTCGTCTAAGAAAAAATCTTGTAAGTCTACAATGATAAACGATTTCATTTTTTTATAATTATTTATTATTTGATCTGTTGGATCCGACGTTTCGCTATTTAAATGTACGGAACTAAACTATTGTTGGTATGTCGTATAGCTGATTGCACAGGCTAATTAGTCATACATGCTATATTCAAAAAGAATGACAAGTCAACATGTATATACATATATTAAGGTTTTTATTTCATAATGTGCACTATGGAACATGACATGATTTATGAGTATTATAGTTCAGGATGCATGCGGACTAGCTTATGTCAAGATGATTTATATATGTAACTTTATCAACGTGTGTATAAAGTCTACGTTTACACATATCAAATACATATATATTAATTTAAAAGAATCTTCAAGAACATCAAAACATTTATGAACAATTATGAGTGTCAATTTAAAATTATACTTTAAAAAGCTACATACCAACGATTTGAAATTCCCGACACGTCACGATGACCAAACCATACTGATGTCAGCAAGTACCTGTTACAAGTACCTGTTACAAAAAACATACCTGTCACAGGAAGTGTTCAATGCGCATGCACAATACACGTTTTACAGGAAATGAAACACCTGGACATTTTATCAATTATCAATTGTTTATAATATTTTTTAAACTTTTTCGTATATAAATATCTTTTCTACTCTTATCATACATATAATTCTGTTAAATTTTATACCTTAAAGTTTTTCTAATTAATATTCTTAAAATAATTTGTTCTTTGAAAATTGTTAACTTATTTGTTTGTTTTTTATGTTTTCTTGATCTCTAGAAATTAACTTTTTTTTTTCTCTTTTTTTTATGATGAAATAAAGGAAAATATTAACTGATAAAAAAAAAAATTCGAAAAGATTATCTTTACATTTAACAATTATTATTTTTTTACTTATTAAAAACATTACAAAATTGTTGAAGTAAATTATAACTTACCCGACTGCAGTATCCGAAAATTTTTTAAAAAGTGACAAGAAAATATATTGAGCGGATATTTCCGAATATTGTTTCCTAAGGCGTTTTTTTCTTTAAAAGATAAAGTAATAAAAAGTCATTAGATAACATCTCTGACCGGACATCTCTGACCGGATATTACCTTAAGGGTAAAACAGATGTCAAGTTGATTTTATATTTTAGATTTTTATAATTTGTTAGAACGAGTTTGAAATGTTTGATATTAAATAATAACTTGTTCAATACTTTTTTTTTAAATATTTTTTTTTATAAGTAATGGAGGAATTGTCGTATAGCTGATTGCACAGGCTAATTAGTCATACATGCTATATTCAAAAAGAATGACAAGTCAACATGTATATACATATATTAAGGTTTTTATTTCATAATGTGCACTATGGAACATGACATGATTTATGAGTATTATAGTTCAGGATGCATGCGGACTAGCTTATGTCAAGATGATTTATATATGTAACTCTAAAACGTGTGTATTTATATACATTATAAAATGTCCTTAGGACAGGTTGATATTATATATACTATTCTCAAATGTCAGAGTAGGGGAGTTCGACTTTGGTATTACACTCGTTCACATGTGTGTTTGTATTTGTATATTAAAAGTATGTAACATCCGTGAGTTCTTTCTCCGTTATACGACAGGTACACCACTTGTTGCCAAGTAAAAAAAGAGTAAAGTTTCATTCCGTTTCATTCTTTCCTAAGACTATTAGTGATTGGAATAATTTAGACAGTGCCGTTGTGTGCAGAGCTTTAAAACAGCTCTCCAACAGTGCTACTAAATTACTTAGCTCCTCTCTCCCGCTGCGTACATACCGGAAGGTTCTGCAATGTACACATTCAGATTCAGATTCAGAACTAAATACTATACTATAGTGAATAATTGTTTAATGGGGCATTTATATAAAGGGGACGTAACTTTGTTATACATGATATTGATAGTAAAATGATATAAAATTTTGTTACATGATTGTGCATTTAGTAATCACTATGAATGATGATATCCTGCCAAAAAGGCGGTTTCCAATATCATAAAGAAGTATGGAAGAAGGTATAATATGAGTTTCAATATCATCCAGCAAGATGAAATAAATGCACTTATTCTCTTTACTGTACAGTAATAGCTTTGTGTGTAGTTGTTTGTAACTAATTTTTTCATCCTGGATCCATCGACGACTTTGATTGTGTACGATGAAATGCCTGCAAAGTACATATCTAATAATGTCATTTTCTTGTATTTTCCACGTGCAGGTTTTCTTGTGAGACCTTTAGTGAAATTCTTTACCTCTGAACCAGAACAATACCACACATGGAAGATGTTCATTGGATTTCCATTTGGAGCCATACTTGGCTACGGTAAGTCGACATAAAGTATAGGATGAGCTTTATTGTTTGTTAAGAATAAAGTTTGGTGTTCTTCAGTAGTGATAGTGGATGGAATTACCAACTATGTACCGACTGTTAATAGCTTAAAAAATTACGAAAAACCCATAACAAACCAGTAGGTATAGTTGCACGGGGTAGGAACTGTTACAAGAAGGATGGAGATAATAACCCATTTTGACGAGTGTTTTTGTAGTAAATACAGATGTTTTCCGACGAACTGTGTAACAGTTATCACAAGAACTCCTGAACAAGTTATCATGAGACCTCCATCCTTCGTGTAACAGTTCCTCTCCCGTGAGTTGGTTATTCGAATATTAAACTATATCAATCATACGTACCAAAATTGTGATGAATGATGATGATAAAAAATAATGATACATGATGATGATGATCATAATGATATATGTATGACGATGATAATGATGTTAATGATGATGAAATTGTTTGAGGTTGTGATGACAATGATGATGATGATGCAAAATAAAATAAAACAATAAATAAAAAAAAGAATAAATAAAACGTTTATGGGAACTATAGATTAAGATAGTAAATATTTCCAGGGCTATACAGATTAGTCATTCTCCCTATGGACCTAGGAGAAGATACAAGGCAACTGCTCGGAGCCGTCCTGGTGTTCGGAATATCTGCCGGTTTCTCTCTCTCGGTCCACTTCCGGTGTGTCTGCCTATTACTGGTTCCAACATTTATGGGAAAGGCTGGTCGGTCGTACCTTGGAGCATTTGCCATGGTTTTTCTTATAGCAGGTATGTTTGGACGACTTGATTGCACACTGTACATGTATTGCATTGTTTGCCATGTTATCTTTGAGTTTAACACATAAATTTACATAAAAATCATCCCAGTTTTATATAATCAAATAATAAAATATATAATTAAATTTAAAGCAGTTTCAATAAGCAAGCATTTTGTGTTAATAACCGAACTTTGACAATACTTTATTATAATGTTAATAATTGTTTTCATAGTGGTCTTGTTATTGGGCTGAAGACTGTCATAATGCCGAAGGCGAATATGACAGTCTGAGGCCCAATAACTAGGCCATTATAAAAACATTTAATGTTTGACAATTTTATCAATTAACAACACATAATATAAAAAATCAAGTACTTAGTGAACTAAAACGAACTAATATGAAATTCCGTTGTTGTGAGGTATTGTAAATGAGATTTTTGTTCTAAAAATGTCTCCGAAACCTATTTTACAGCTATGGCGATTTTTTTCTATGAAAAAAAAAAGAAAAAAGGAGATTCATGATGGCCCAGCTGGAGAGCCAATCAAAATTCTCCAATCTCATAATAGCCGTGTTTTCTCATAGAGGCAGTACTTTTGCATAATGGCCTTGTTTTATGTTCATAATGTCGTGGTGAACTTCATATTAGCCTTACATTTGAAGTGAAAACGTGCCAAATATTGAAAAGTTGATTAATAATATTTTTGAACTTTGGTCGATATTTTAATTGTCAAGCTAGTTATTGTTTTTGAATAAAAGTTATATGGTAATAGTTTACTGCACTTGTATGTGTAACGCTGCAATTGGTATACAAGTTGTATACTCGTGCTGTCAATTGCAATCTATGAAGTAATTTTATTTACCAATAATCTATAAAGGAAGTTTGCAGTATTATAAATTCGGCTAGGGTAATATAAAGAACTCTTTCCATAGGGTCATTATAACCTGCCAAAATTCTGAATCTAATAACCTACCTTACAGTATGTAAATGCAAACATCCCAAATGCATACAAATAACATAAAAAGTTTCGTACCCTAGAACCAGGGACGCGAATACCACGGTTCCCTCTCTACCAATTTCGTTATTTATGAGGTTCATCATGAAATGTCGATCCTTTAAAATGGCAACTGTGATATGTTAATTTTCGATATATGAGCCGCGTCACGATAAAACCAACATACTGGGTTTGCGACCAGCATGGATCCAGATCAGCCTGCGCATCCGCGCAGTCTGATCAGGATCCATGCTGTTCGCTTACAAACCCTATTACAAGAAGAGAAACTGATAGCGAACAGCATGGATCCTGATCAGACTGCGCGAATGCGCAGGCTGGTCTGGATCCATGCTGTTCGCAAACCCATTATATTGGTTTTGTCGTGACGCGGTTCATAATTATGTATTTCAGGGCCGGTAGAAAACATTGTTGACAACGCACAAGACATCACAAGATCACTGACATGTGCTGCACAACTAGCTGCAAATCATACAAAGGCGAAATGGAAGTTCCGATTACAACCGGTTGGAAATGTAATGAAAGATATGGCTGTAAGTATTTGAGCCGCGTCGTGACAAAACAAACATAATGGGTTTGCGACCAGCATTGATCCAGACCAGCCTGCGCATCAGTTTCTCTACTTGTTTTAGGGTATGTAAGCGAACAGCATGGATCCTGATCAGACTGCTGGTCGCAAACCCATTATGTTGGTTTTGTCGTGACACGGCTCATTTATAATAAAATGCTATATATACTGAACAATTTCGTAAATTTTTTGATTATTCTGGATCTTGTATTAGGAACGACCATCCTGATTATATCAAGCCTGCTACATCTGTAAGCCATTTTAAAACCTTATACTTGAGATATTATCACACATAGATAAACTCATGTCCGTAGTGTATTAATATTAAGGTATTTAAATAGTTTGAATATGTTAAATTTATATTGTTCCTTGTTGAGGGCCTCGTGGAAGATTGATATGTTGTTCAAACGAGTTCTCTTGTTAAATAAAGTTTTATTATTATTATTATTATTATTATCTTTACAATTATCATCATTATTATTATTATTATTATTAATATTATTACATGTATTATTATTTATATGATTATTATAATTATTACTATTATTATTTTTCTTATTATTATATTATTATTATTATTATTATTATTATAATAAATGTATTACGTTTCTTCCTTAAATCTGTATCTCATGAAATCGGTTTTCTTTAGCTGATTTGAAAAATGATTTATTTTGTGCAATATAGATCTACTGTCGTGAAAAGTAGAATAGAGAAAGAGAAAAAAAGAATGAAGAAATACTTAAAGAACGCCCATCACGGCTAAATTAGAAACTATATATTAATTTGGAGCACATTGAAATGTTGTAAAATAATGCATGGTTTGAGTTCAAAAGTAGGAGTGCCGTATACATACATGTACATTTTTAAGCAGAATTACATATAACAGTTGTTGAGACCAAGACTCTTAATGACAAATTAATATTTACGTATATAATATGAGTGATATTACAATTCTATATTGTATTTAAGGAAGAGGGATGGATGCTGAACAAACTGGGGAAGAAAGTTAACAAGGCGTTTGTTCCAGTGAGAGCCGAGGTAAGACAGTTCAGATATGCATAATATATCAAATGGCTAGTATTTCTCATAATTAAAATATTTTTGTCATCATTGGTTTTAATTTCCAAACAAAATACTAACTCTCTAAACTTATAACAATTGCCAAATAAGTGATAGTTAATCTATTTAGCCAATGAGTATTTTTTTGGAAAATATAAAAAAGATACCAAAAATAAAAATGTTTTGAGAAAAAAAAATGATGACATTTCCTGTGCTTAATGGGCCTTTAAAAACAAGAATGTTTATACATGTATAAAGTCAGTATTGTTACGCACCATAACAGCGCGGCGCATCAATGTCTGACACTAACTTTGTAGCTGGCTATCACGATGGAATACCTTCTTTATTAATTTAAGAACTTCCTCCGGTCTCCTAGAATTCAGGAATGCCTGAAAAAATATCATTTTTAATCTAACAAAAGTTGTCCTAATTTAAATTCATTACAGATGGTTAGTGTGAAAAGGTTTAACACCACTAAGTACTTTCCTTCTACAAATCAACATTCAACTCGACCCTAAAGAAAGAGCAACGTATATATTTAATATAAAATAAATTGACCTTTTTATTATGCAACTACATTTTTAAAAGATGTGCAGTCAATGTGGAATTAAGTCGTAACTTCAAAATGTTATGACCATTTGCCCATTACTTAGTAAGTTGTTATTGTGTATCATGTTCAAACAAGAACTCCGTCATTTTCTGTCAAACTACAATGATTTACTGTGTGATATTACATTGAAAAATGTGCTTTCAATTTTATAAGATCCGTGGAGATACGGGCATAAAAGAAATGGAGTTCCGAACCAGAAAAGAAGATAAACTAGAGGGCGGAAAGCTGAACAGGGCAGGAAAAATTGATGCGGAAAGTAAAAATGGACCAAATGATAAGAAATCAAAGAAAGTTGAAAATAAGTACAAAAAGAAGATAAAGTTAGAGTGTGAAGGTAAATTAATATGTTTAATGAAATAAAACTGCAGAGAAATTTATCTTTGACTAAATACGTAAACATTTCATCGCCAAATTACCCGCAATCCTAATTCGCAGGGCACTTGCTATATGACTGAGATGTTTATAATTCATATACATGTACACTAAATGATTTATTGTTAAATGGCCGGCTTCAAACGTATATTGCTGTAATTAACATCAGTTGCTGAGGATTGTACTATAACTATGTCACCCTACAAAAATGTCACATACTTTGAAATTGCAAACTCAATTATCCAGCTTCCTATAAACGCGATAGCGAACAGTGTTCACGTGAAATTTCTATTTGCCACATTAATTATTATCGGTATTTCTGTTAAATGTATCTCAAAGGCCCAGTATGCCTCAGAAATGTTTGTGTTCTTATTTCTCAAATGCTTTTATTAATGTGTGTATTTTTGTAGTATCTAAAAAGTTACTCACTGGCCAATAACCTTTCCCATCTCTTTCATCTGTTCCTTTTATGCAATAAGTACAGCTTTAGTGAATAAGTATTTTGTATGAAAGTCAAAATACTCGTTTGTTCACATTTTATTACTTTTATGACAAATTATTTCATATATAAATATGATTATCACTTCATTCTTCAGGTACCAATCGTCTAACATTCTCTAAAACCATTTTTTAAACATTATAAAATGTATGCCCTTTCTATAGGAGTAAACATTGATTTGTTTCTAGGGCATATTGTACGAAAAGAAATGATTAAGATTATATAATATCCCGAATAAAACTAAAATCATCTCGGCTTTATATTTTATTACTTATATTGTTGAGGTTTAAAACACGCTGCTTCACATATTGTGTCTTATACAGACAGATATACACGTGCTTCTTCACAACAGCGGACACGTTTGAAGAATCTAAAAATAGGAACGAAACTTACACTTGGCCATATTTTATCGTCCTTACCTTATGGAATATGCAACGACTTATTTAATATTGTCATTGTTTATTGTTATATAGATATATATAACAAAGCTATGAAGGAATGTCGGAAAGTTTTTGATCGTTTAGAAGATAGATGCAGGGACAAGATTCCAGAACCATTAGATGGAGTTTTATGCCCGCTGGTCAATGTTGGATTCCTGTGCAAACTTGTTGAACGTAAGTGCTTTTCGTTTTATAGTCTACATATGAAATACTATGCCCATTTTTCTCTACGTACTTCTTAAGTTTAAAATGGAATAATATGTATACAAGCGTATCCTAATATCAAACATCCGGGTAAAGGTGGACTGTAGTTTTAATCAGAAGTATATCGTTTTGTGTCATTAATCAATTCGTTTTAGTGACAATTCGTTATAGAATGTGGGATGCAAATAACGCAATACAATCACTGCTTTATATATCCAATGTTATATTCTTCATTAATTGATTTCATTATACATGTAATTATGAAATCCTGATTATCGTGGCTTTTAACCAAACGTTAAAAGTTCTGTAGTTCTGAATTATTGTTATCTGACATTTTTGTTTCCGCTGTCAGCTCTGGGAAGGGCACTAGGTGGCGAATGTAAGCCGAGTGAGATTATCAGACCATCATTTGGGAAAATGTATCAAAAGTCCGAAGAGTCTGTTCAGGATATGGATCAGGGATTTGAAGTTAAAATGCAGTACAAGGTTTGCTATAGAGCTGTTTCTATACAGTTAGAAAAACTTAAGCAGATCTTGTTATAACTACACTGTTATTCACGTCAAGTGGTAAAAAAATAATGATGTGTCTTCCGAATTTCAAGAAAAAATATAAAATAAATAAATAAATAAATAAATAAATAAATAAATAAATAAATAAATAAATAAATAAATAAATAAATAAATAAAATAAATAAATAAATAAAATAGATAAATAAAATAAATAAATAAATAAACAAACAAACAAACAAACAAACAAACAAACAAACAAACAAACAAACAAATAAATAAAAATGAAAAATACATAAATTATATTAAATTAAATAGGTGATAAAACATTATAAAAAATGAATGGACGGATGAATTAAGGGATTTATGGTTTTATTTACGTCTTTTTTCCAATTTATTCTTTTAGGTAGTCAAGGGCAAAGAAGACGTTGACTACACATCTATAGAAGAAATGCGTAGTAATACCATGCATGATTTTAAACAAGGACGATACTGGTTGAACTTAGCTTTGGTTCTGATCAAGAGATTGTTAGGTTTCACGTTTCTCCTGGTTATAATAAGGTTTGTTTCCTTTTAATTAAGGCTGAAGTGTTCATGTGAAAGGGCGGGAAATTAAAGTGGTAATGTGAACAAGCTGTCGTTTTCATGCGTTCACATTTTCGTACTTTTATTATTATTATAATTTTTTTTCAGTATGAAAAAAGCAGTATCAATGCTTGTAATGTTTACACTGTCGCGAAAACATAACAAACATGCATGTATCGCATAAACAACATTGATTGTTTACGTACCGTACAGAAATAAATATTCTATCAGTGGAAAGCGTTTATTTACATTTTTTTTCATTTGTGTTATGAAGAAACTCTTTCATTATTTAAGAACATTCACATATGAGCCGTGTCACGACAAAACCAACATAATGGGTTTGCGACCAGCATGGATCCAGACCAGCCTGCGCATCCGCGCAGTCTGATCAGGATCCTTGCTGTTCGCTTACAGACCCTATAACAAGTAGAGAAACTGATAGCGAACAGCATGGATCTTGATCAGACTGCGCGGATGCGAAGGCTTATCTGGATCCATGCTGGTCGCAAACCCATTTTGTTGGTTTTGTTATGACACGGCTCATATGTCGATGTTATCTGATGATTATGTTACACTATCTACAGTGAAACAATTGTTATTTGTTTTCCTACATTAATAGCACACCTGCTGCTCTTTAATTCTTACCTACCCTGATTGTCTAGATGTAATTAGAGAATGTCTTTTTGAAGATTCAAATATAAATCTTAATAATCCTAATAATAATCTTTTAAATCATTATAATCGTTTCATTTTATGTTGTTTTCTCAAGCTTTCTTCACTTTTTTTATCATAATGGTGTAAACATTAGTTAAGAATGGATATTTTGAAAAGAACCCGCTTGGCAACTTCTTTTCGTTTCAATTATAATTCACGAGGATTAAAACAAAATGTTGACCTTAAAACACAGTATGATGCCTTTTAAGTTATAGAACACGTTCACATTTTCGGCGAAAATAGCCTTTATTTTTCTTAAAAATCACATGATGAATTGTGTTCGATTGTTGGTATTGTATTCTGTTATTTTCAGCGCTTATAAATATCGCAAGAAGTATACAAATGATATACGTTTTGACAACATATATATAACATCGTACTTCCGGAAGATAGATGCTCGCCGTATGTTAAAGGTACTGGTATAAATCATGTTATTTATTTGCTAAAGCCCATTACCGCCTTTGGGTTTGAATTCAGTCACAGACATTGGATATATGAGCTATATAATGGGTTTGCGACCAGCATGGATCCAGACCAGCCTGCGCATTCGCGCAGTCTGATCAGGATCCACGCTGTTCGCTATCATTTTCTCTACTTGTAATAGTGTTTGTAAGCGAACAGCATGGATCCTGATCAGACTGCGCGGATGCGTAGGCTGGTCTGGATCCATGCTGGTCGCAAACGTATTAAGTTGGTTTTGTCATGACGCGGCTCATATGTGAGAAATTTATCTAGCTTAGAAAGGTCTTTAAAAATTACTAAGATACCGCTCGGTAACACGAAATGAAGGGGCGCTTTAAGTTCTCCACCACAAGTAAAGCTGGAACACCGTCATATGGTATTTACAGTTTGGGTGTGACTTGAACGCAACACAACAAACATTAACCGGAGTCTGAATTGTTTAAAAATTATAGTTGACAGGAAAATTCAATAAACCTTTAAGTTTCAAATAAATTCCTAATTTGAGACAAACATTGTTTTATTTTGTGGAGCTCGTTTGTGAAAAATTACACGATATTCAGTCTGTTAGTCTGATAGTTCATATACAAATGTAACATACCTGGTACAACCTGTTTTCAAAAGCTGTTTTTCTAAAAAGTGTGTTTTGACTATTATCATAAGAAATTTGAAAATAAAATTGCTGATTCTACACATTATTTCCTTTGTGATACACAAATGGGTTAAAATAAATAAGATTTTTAACTTTGGCCATATATATATGTAGATTGACTTTATCATAGGTGCTAATCACTAATGTGTCTGTCAAAATCAAATTCTTCCCCAACCACAAAATAAAACATGATTGTATTAAATTGCCTCAAATATTTACGAAAAGATTATCCGATATTGTTATTTGTTTTCCATTTCAAGAAAAAGAGAGTGCTTTTGCCCCTTAAAAAGATCGAATCAGAGCAGGTGATATTTCCGACAACTTTCAAGATGTTAAAGTCAGAGCGTAGAAAGCTGGTAAGTGGTGACAAACCTTTTAAATTCTTTAACCCTGCTAAAATTCTAGAATGAACTTGTCCATTTTTCTACCATAGTAAAAACGTTCATAATTTTAAAGGCACATTATACCTTAGAAACAAAAAATAATAACTTCTTTAAATGGTAAAACATGAATTTTATAATTTTTAATTAATGATTTTAGATGACGTTAGATGCTTGTTATCTGAAAAAAGTAGCGATAAATGTGAAATACATTGTCATAAAAAGCAGAAAAATGTAAACAAAGTAGAAATTGACTTCCATTTAAAATAATAATTCACTATAACTGTACAAATTGCCAAAAAACAACAGATGTAAAACAAACGGTTCAGGTAATTGGCCAATGAGTAAATTTTTGGATCCTATAAAAGTACATGTACACTGTTATAAATTCTTCTCTCTCGTAATTTATAATTTCTACTACTTCTATAATTCCACATAAAATATACACAATAACTGTTCTTAATTTCATTTCACTGTTTATTTGTTATAAAATGTTCTAAATTTCTACTCTACAATTAATAATTAAAGTTACAGAGTTTTTCTTCCTCACACATGGTTGATAAGTCACTGAGAATTAACTCTCAAAAATCCCTATCCCGACTCTAGCTCTTACAACCTCACTCTTGCATTTTGAATCTTATTCTTCAACCTTCAATCTAGAAACTTGAATGTTAACTGCCCCCAGAAAATCTTGTCTCAGTATTTATATGAAATACCTTGACTCTCCATATTTGGAGGTTACCTTAGTGTTAATTGACAAATTTAAGCCTTCTATATTTATGACGACAAGTGTTGATCAAGTAACTGTACCAGAAACAAACAGACTGATCCCTGGAATATTTATGATGGTAACCAATGATTGAGTTCCCTAAACACAACAATTGCAGACCTCTTGTCCATTATTTATGCAGGTACCCGTTGACAGAGATACCAAACTAAAATCTCCCAGACTGATACACAGTCTAGCCCCAACAGATTTATAGTAATAAATAATGACAACAAAAGAGGTCTCAATTCTCATACAAACTCAATCATTAAATCAAACCTTAACCAGGTGCCTTGCTAAAACTACAACACTCCCCCAACCTTAAAAAGCTTAATTGTCCCAATTAAGTTAATAACACCAAACAAAAATATAGAAATGAAACAAAAATCAGTGACTATTCAACCAATCTTACTCCCAAAATGAATAGAAGTTTAACAATAAAACATTCTCAATTAACATATAAACACTGCATTAACTAAAATAAGCATTATTCAAATACGAAATTCTAAGAAAATACTAAATCTACAGAAATGTTACTTCTGTTAACGACAATATTTTTTCTGACTACAATTATACATTGAATACTCAATAAAGTTCTTAAACAGTTATTCAACTTTTAACACCGTGTTTTAATATCAAAATGAAACATATTTTGTCACTCAATTATATAATATAATTGTTCTGTTGTCCTTTTTTTTTCTATTTCACAATAATATATCCTAATTCAATCTTTCACACA